TCCAATCAAAACGCTGGGTCCGAGCGTTTTAATTGGCTTTCCTACCTGCCTGTCAATGTATGTATTAGCATTCCTCTGCGCACCCGGTTCGCGCATACAGGATACGTCATCAGCGCGTTCACGCACGCTGTGCAGACAGAGCGAGAATGGCAGACAAACATCAACAACCCGATCTTCCTTCCTGGTATTGTAGTACTTTTAAAGTTTTCTCACCGGTGAATGACACATGATGTAGCCCAGCGGTTAATCCAGTCCTCGTGCCAGCTCGTTAGAAGTGAGCTACGTGCATGAACTGTGTTCCGATCGATATGATCCCTACACAGTGTTCATTGCTCCCTACTCCCTGAGCGAGGGAAATCCGTTGAAGTTTACTTCACTTCGGAACATGGGCTGGAATTAGGAACCGCTGATGTAACCTATTGTAGTAATGTTGTCTCTGGTATTCTGGTCTGTGAGCGTAAATGCGTTCAGGGGGCGTGGCTTCGGACGGCGATTGCAGGGAGGGTGGGATGTTCGCTTTCAGTGCTATCAGGCTAAAGTTAGCATTTTCCAAGATCTCCTACTGCACCTTTAAAGCAAGGATTCCGAAGAAACAAGAATTTTAACCCTTTCATGCATGACATCCACTACAATGGTCAGCCATTTTGAACCATTTAAGTTGTAGCACCATGTCCCAACCAACAACTGGCGACCCCCCAAAGTGTTGTCTACTATTCCATTGAATTATTGTCTTTGTATTTCTTTTTTGTTTTGAGATATATTGCATAATACATTCAAAATGGAGGCGGGAAGAGGAGATGCACCAAGTACCTCAGGAATAAGTGTTAAATCCTTTTATTCTCACAAAAAAAAATTTCAGCTAAATAAGATTTTAATCTTTTGTCGAGATTTTAATGAAATAAATTTTTTCTGTGACAGAAAATACATACAAATACATATTTTCTGAAAATACAGAAAATACATTTACACAAAATACACATTCCAGTGGACGTTATGAACCAAAGGGTATATTGTGCCTATTGGGCCTATATATAGATTCTGCCTTATTTTGTATGTTTTATCAAAATTATGATATAATTTACACTTGAATAGTTTTATTAAACAGCAATATTAAATAGTCTTCAGATTTTATTATTTATTTCAATGCTTACAGTCTATATTTATTTATTAGGTCATATAAAAGTGTAGGCATGTTTGAGTGTATGAGTATTGCACTGTTTGAGGGCAGGGATATTTGTGCTTGATTGCGTTCGAGTGTGTGTTTGTGTGTGTGTGTGTTTGTGCTCACCTGTGTATGAATAGCCCACCACCCCCACACAGCCCCGCCCCACACACACACACTCTCTTACCTTTTGTTTGTTACACTTAACTTTACTGTGCCGTCATGACATAGTTTGTTGTTATTTAATGTTCTTATGTGTATTCATACCATTTGCTCGTTGTAAATGTTTTATAAACATGTTTTTTCCAACCAAACAATAAGTTCTATAAAATCACTTTTTATACCCTTGATGCATGGTGTCCACTACAGTGGACAGATATGTAACATATCTCAAAATAAAATATTTTGAAAGAAAAAAAAAGTTATTGGCATGCTTTTTCACTTGTTTAAAAGTAAAAACATACATATAAAAATATTACTTTGTGATTTAATAATTCATGCATGAAAGGGTTAATTCTATCATGCATTAGAGTATATGATAGGACATCCACCAAAGACAATCATACAGTGGCTTCACAGTTTCTTCACTAATCGGGACATCCAGTACCAGCACTCTCACAGGCACTTTGGTTATCTTAGTCTTAAATGTGTACATGACAACACACAACATCAAAACACATGTGCACAGGCACAAAAAAACCTATTCTACTCAATGGTCAACAATTAAAATGGAACACAACAACGTAGGTATGTGGTTCTTCACTGGTTTTGCTTCAGGACCCAGATTATACACTGAATGTTTAGTATATTTATTTTTCTGTAATGGTTTTTCTCTTGTTTTCTGTCCAAATTTGGGTCAAACCTCCCACCAGTTGAGAACGACTGACCTTGGTTTCCAGTATGGTGTTTATTGAAGCACACTTGTGATGTTCTTGCCTGTAAGTATTTGCAGATGTGCAGAGTCACCCAGTCACTGGTCGTGTAATGGATCAGTGTGAGGCCCATGTTAGCCGTGGTGTTATGAAGGTCACAGATCAAGTCCATTGCATCTGTGGATCCTTTCGGCCCCAGCAGATTGTTCAGTTCCTGAGCGCGCCGGACTTCATACGGGCTGCTGTCTGTAATAGGAGAACTGCGAGAGAGAGGTGATATTAGATTAACATTGATTAACATTTTTGCATGTATAAATATATTTACTTCCTTTTCTCAATTTTCTTAAATAGTGGTGCTTTTTTCCCCCCCCCAAAAAAAGTGGTGCTGTTCACCCAAAATGAAAACATTTTTTTCCACACTATGAATGTCAATGCTACTGTCAAGTGTTTGGTTACCAACATCCTTCCAAATAACTTCTTAAAGTGCTTAAATGATGACAGAATTTTCATTTCTGGGTTTTCATTTCTAAATGGCTGTTTTTCTTTCATGTGTAGTGTTGGGAAGTACGATTCATTCAAGTGAATTGGTTTGTCCTAAAGGGACCTCTTTCTCATTTTGGAAAGTCAGATTCATTCTAGTGAATAGGTTTGTCCTAAACAGACCCCATTTGTCATTTCTTTATCCATTATATGATTTCTTAACAATCTATTTATTTTTAAATAAAAAATTAACTCACAAAACTACATTCCACAGTCACATCTCACCTCAGCATGGCCCTGTTGAAGCAGCGGTTCATATCCTTGTCAATGTATCTTCTGCACTCTTTCACAGCCTGCTGCCCCGGAATGCCAATGCCATCTACAACAGAAAATTAATAACACTCTTATTTTGAGTTTTTAAATGCCACGGCAGTATTTTAATGTATGTCTTTCAGCGATTCCCATTCAGTGATTTTTTTTTTTTTGAAACTCACAATATCATTATCCTATCATATCAAGCAATATCATATCCTTATGTAGTTGACTGATGATTTGTAATTGAAGAAAAACAGGGTAAATGAAAAAAAGGAGTGCAGTTGTGGAGTGGTTTTGTGCATAATAGATTTTGTCCCTATGGATAATATGGAGTTCTGGAGGGGAAAACACCTACGCATCCCAGATAAACTTATCTAATGATCACATAAAACACTTAAGACATGTGAGTCACAAACGGCTTTTTTAGTAGACAATTTATGTCTTTGGCTTTGATAGAAAAACGTAAAGTGTCCACGTAAAGTGTGTTATGCTGAAGTTTCTAATAAAGTTACTACGTAAAAGTACAATTTATTCCGTCTATATTTACTCTCATTTGGCGAGTGTTTATCCATGTGTCTATCCCTTTAAGAACATGTGAGGATGATATTAGTTTAAAGGAGACATATTATGCCCCTTTTTACAATATGTAATATAAGTCTCTAGTGTCCCCAGAATGTGTCTGTGAAGTTTCAGCTCAAAATACTCCACAGATCATTTATCATATCATTTAGAAAAATACCTATTTTGAGTGGAAGCAGAAACACTGTTTTTCGTGCCTGTCTCTTTAAATGCAAATGAGCTGCCGCTCCCCGCCCCCTTTTCCAGAACAGAGTTGCGCCTTTACAGCTCGGACCTGCTAAAAAC